ACTATCAAAACACGTTCCACATGTACAGAGCATATAGGCAAAGTTTATTAATACTCATAATACGACTACAATATAGAGTCAAAAGACTACAATATAAATAGTCAAATATATTAAAACACGTACCACATCTATCGTGTATATAATCAAAAAATATCAAATTATGTATTACATTTACAATGTATATAATTAAAGTATATAAAAACATGTACATTATCTACAATTTGAATGTATGTAATCAAAATATTAAAACGCATACCATTTCTAAAATCCATATAATCAAAACTTATTAAAATAATGTGTTATTACATTTTACATAATCTTATTATACATTAAACACTTTTGATTTCCTCCTGTGTGATATAAGGCTCGATATGTTAAAAAAAATGAATGGAATATTATAACCTGTCATCATAAATGTTTGGAAAAAAAGCGCTCGGGTATAAAACCGTGGCTTATTAGTTAATTGGTAAAAAGGACGCATCATCCTTTGAAATTCAATCCCGATGCTGTTTGCCGCTCCAGAATAGCGATTTGTTTTGACGCTACTTCCGTGTGTCGTTTCAAAGGATGGGTGCCATATTTGGCCGTCTTTTGAATCAAGTCCGCGTGACTCCTTGTAAGATACTGGGGGTCAACGGTGGGGCTGTAAAATGACATATCTTTGGTTTCTCTGTTCAGATACATTAAACATCCATCAAAACATAGTATAGTATTACCTACCTTGGCAACCAGCGACGATCCCGGCTTTTCTATACAAGTCCAAAGTTTGTATCTGAAACTGTCAAACTTTAGAGCCTGCGACATGTCGCAAACCTGCTGGCTATTCTCCTGTAGATGCTCAATCACCTCCGTCTCTTCGTCCACCTGGAAGTACGTCCTCCAGCAGCACTTGGATATCACGGTAGTCGGAACCCCCCAGAACGCCATCTCGACTTTACACAGATTGGTACAGATGTGTTTTGGAACATGTATTAACCCGGTATTACACATGTTTAGGACACTGTTAAACACGTCCGGGTCGCGGTCAAAGAAGTATTCCTGTTTCGCTCTATCATAAAACCCACTACCCTCGTCCAAATCTCGAAGTATTTCCCCCGGTGCTTTTGATAAAGTTGATTTCAGAGTCTCAAACCGGGATCCTCGAATGTTAAATATCACTTTGGAATCCATGGCGTTTGAGCTGTAGGACTGAGGACATTCGTCCATCTTCTGTAGAACTGTGCCGTGGTTATTTTGCTATATCTTGATACTCCATTCCAGTACCATCCTTATTCGCCATGCTATTCTGTGTATGAGTTAAACTACATCCTGTATTTTTCTTTGTGTTATACTTCAGTCCTTTCTCTACCGTACCAAGACACTTCCGGCAAACATCCTTGTCTGGTTATCAATCTATGTTTCCTGCCCACGCCGTTCCAATCCCCCTGGTACTCTGGTATATTGAATACATACGATACACACGTCTATTAATTTCTTTGCTGATAATTTAGGACAGTGCATATGCTTTGGTTCGTATAAAATTTAACATATGTTTTTATTACAATTAACATAAGATTTAAGGCATACTCGATTTGTAACAAATGAACGAGAGATGGTCGAGTAATTAACGGGGTAGATAGATATTTGGGGAGATCGGGTGGTCGAGTAATTAACGGGGTAGATAGATATTTGGGGAGATCGGGTGGTCGAGTAATTAACGGGGTAGATAGATA